TCGCCACGGCTTGTCCAGTCGCGGATGTCCGCTCCGGTCACATACGTCAGACGTGGATCAACTAGGTGCCCACTCTTTGTTCGCCGGTATGCCTTGGTCGGAGGCGACGCCGACGGATGATGGAAATATGTTGGACATCACCCACGCCGGAGATGGCTTCGAGGACAAACAAGTGAATGATTCTCAGACAGAGTTGTATACCGAGCAGCCAGACACGTACACCTAGCAGTCGGATCGAGCAGACGGGCCTTGATCCGAATGATTGGCAGGCAGTGCCGACCCAAAGAAGAAGGGATGGGGAGAAAGTTTCAATTTTAGGGAGGATGAATTGTTGTATGATGTTTGGTTGGCCACGGGTATTGATCCGTTTCAAGGCATGGAGCAAAGATGCCCAACCCTTTGGTCCAATGTTCATACTTGGTTCCATGAGCACTAGAACTCCGATACCTACCGCACAGAAGCGATCTGAGATCATACGCCAAATTGCTCACCTATCGATGGTACACCATCCAAGAGCTGTGAGCAAGTATTGTGGTCATCTCAATATACTCAAAAACCGGTGGCCAAGTGGTGCGCAAATTTCGAGCAAGTAAATTGTTCCATGTGTTGGTCATTTGGCCAGATATGTAACTTGTTGACCATGTCCTATTTTGCATCCCTTCCATGCGGTCACATTGTGCTTGAAGGTGGAAAGAAACTTCATCCTCATGCATTGTTGGTTAAAGTTGAATGAGCAACCAAAGTGACTCATATCCATTGCCCATAGCACCAAGACTACTGCCGGCATCAACAATGAAGATGAAGATGGTCAAAAGGGGGATCCGGAGGAGGAAGTATGAGAAGGAGAAGCGAGAAGGGACGGCGACCAAGATGATAGAGAAGTTCAAGGACATCATGGTGAAGGAGGCATGCGTCAATCGCTATGACATCAAGGAGGAAAAGAAATCAAAGAGGTTTGACATCTTCATGGCAGCGATGGAGAAGAAGATTAACTTCGGAAAAGAAGAAGACCGAGCTCGATGTGAAGAAAACCAAGCTTGAAGAGGAGGGTTGAGCTTGCGACTGTTTCGAAAAAAAACAAAATATTGACCATGAAGATGGACGATTTAGATCCCGATGCGGCGAAGATCGTGCTAAGCCGTCTATGCAAGGATGTTGAAGCACTTGACGACAGAGATGCAAGAGGCGGGCGCCGTGGAGGAGCAAACGGCAAAGTGATAAGGAAGGAGGCACGGACAACCAGTCTGGGAATATCCGTTGTTTATTACACTTCAAAAGATTGCATACATATGCACTTTGATTTCCTCATCAAATTGCTATTAGGATCAACATTTGCACTTCAAATGTATCCGGATGAGGCTGGACGTTTTGGGACTTGCACTTCAAATGTATCCGGCTGAGGCCGGACGATTTGCACTTTGAATGTATCCAGACGATTTTGGATTTGCACTTCAAATATATCCGGATGAGGCCGGACGTTTTGGGCATGCAATTGAAGGCCGACTCTTGTATCCGTTCCTGCAGATGGATAATGAGTCCGTGTGATAAATGTGAGTGACCACTGGAGGTAAAATGCCATTTGATTGCCATTGATTTTTTAAGTGGACTAGTAAAATGCCCGTGCGTTGCCACGGGCAATAATACATGTACAAAATTTAGACGTGTCCATCTAATTGAATGACAAAGTTTAGTTGAGGATTATCTAACTCAATGTTGAGATGAAGTAGTACTGAGTTGAATTTAAGAAGAGCACACACATTTCTTTTCATTTAGCATATAACTATCCACTTCATATGAAATATTTGAAGTAAGTTTGCAAAAAATAGCATTGTTCATATTTAGATTAAAAGAATAAGAACTGTAGTAACGTATTGATACAGAGTAAACAAAGCTATTTCACAATGTTGTAATAAAATTACACATATGCTTCTCCGACTAAAAAAAGTTTATCCCAATTCTCTTCACCAAATCATGCACGACTTGTGGAATATTTTCTACGCATTCATTGTCCTTGTACGACAGCAAGTGTACCAACACCTGATTCTGTAGGTCATAATCGTCCTGCACGTGCATTATGCTGTCACGCAAGGCTCACATCTAAAAGGACACATGAATGGTGAATGTAGAGTACTCACCGGCACAACTGGTAATCCATGTTCATGATCATGCCACACGCGCATAAAGTTTAAAACTAAAAACCCAAACAGGATAGGAGTAAATGTTTTTAGCAATATGATAGATGAAAATGGAATAGTGCGAGCAGCCTAGCTTTATTATTTCCTTCCCTTCCGCTGAACTCGGGATTTTCTTGCTGCATGTGACGCGCGGCCTTAACTGCCCTGCATCTCGGCGATTATCTTCCCTACATAGGGCAATTTTCGCGATTATCTTCCCTACATAAACGTGATTGCTTCCCTATGATTTATTTACCGATTGGCTAGCGCCATTATCGCATGCAAAAATATCAGGAGCAAGAAAATGGCCAGAGATGTCGCGCTGTTTTATTGTATCGTATACTTTTACTCTGAGTGGAAACATCCCATCCAATGACAAATTTGGCAGGTCTATGGCGGATAAGACGGAATCACAAAGCAGTCCACTTTTTGAGTCTTTTGATATTCGTTTTGCTAGAAGGACAGCAAATGTTGATACTCATGACTGTGCGTGAGTGGCGCAGAAGCACGTTGGCTGGACCATAGCCCTCATTTTATTCTGCATAGTCTACAAGCTGATAATAAGATGAATGAAATTCGGAGAGGCCGTCTCTCTTTACAAAAATAAAAATAAAGCTGATTGTAAGAACATTATCTTGGTTTGAAAGAAGTGCACATTTTTTTTACTAAAAAAAGTTAAAGCCAGATACACCCTACATTTACAAATTATCTAAAAACCTAATGCACATAATAACTTGTAATGTAAAGTATATTTACAAGTCGCATCTGGGCCTCAAATACGATGCACAAATGATTCATCACCATTTCAGCAAACTACCTTGGAAAGTATATACATCAACTACATTGAAAGTATTATTTTGATTTTACATATCAGAAAAGAGTGAAGAGAATAAAATCTCGAATTAGTGAGATGTCAAGAAGCTTGCAGGTAGGTGATTTGCTTGGACATGAACCATCTTCCTCTACTTGAGAGAAAACATATCAAAAGACAAGCAGAATTTTCACTTCAGTTCTGGTATTCATGCACTCAAGAATTTACACTTCGGTTCACTGGTCCGGTTTCTCTCAGTAACACATGATAACAAGTTGCAAGTTAAACACAAATGACTCCATATGACGGAGGTGACATGCACAAAATAAATATCAGATAATTTCAAAACAATTTCATTATCTAATTTTATCATGAAATAAAAATATAGCCATATAGATAATAAAAAATAGAGTGGAAATATAACTGCCAAATTTCTGCTGAGCCAGTCATTATCTTCAAGAGGAACCATATTTTCCTTGTTGCAAGAAGTGTTTTCTTGTTCTAACCATGGCACGTCAGGTATAGTTGCTTAGAAACATGGAACAACGAAATTGCTATATTTGCAAGTAATAATATGCCTACTATTAAGCACCTTTAACAACTGACGTATCTTGACTTGATTGTGTCTCTTGGGAATGAACCAATAGTCGAGCTTTCTTTTGTTGATAGGCTTCACGACGCTTTTTAAGTAGCTCATCTTTTTTCTCTGCATCCATCTGCGCATTTCGTTCCCTAGCACGTTGCCGCTTGCGCTCTTTCGCATCTATAGGTTCCCGTCCATTATTAATATCGATGACACCTAAAAAACAGAATAATAATTTACTTATTTCTTGTGCATCAGATTGTACAAATTCACAGCATTAGATCATTAAATATTACTTTGGTTCGTAGAGTTTGACATGTCTTTGAAGGGAGTATGATCACTCGATCGCGTCGGAGACTTCATCTGCAAGGAAGATAGTATCAAATAAAAGTTTCTGTTACGTGGCCACCGTGGTAAGATTGTAGAGTGCACGCTTATTCTACCTCATTCCAATTCATATTCGA